GCAAACTTAGTGCACCTTCGAGTCCTGGGTCCAAAACACTTACGAAGACAATGACCCTAAAATGGAACGCTCCAGAATCCCACTAGTGACCAGCAGACAGCCTGATATTACCCCATTCACTACAATTCATTGCACCTAATGCATGAGCCAAATTGCTCACCCACCACATGACTTGTTTATCCAGCCGTGTGCTGGACAGTTTGTCCACAAGGATTTTGTGAGAGACAGTATCGAAAGTGGTATCTAAAAAGATTACATCAACTGGCTTTCCTTGGTCAGCTGGGTGGGTTAGCTTCTCATAAATGGAAAACAGGTTTGTCAAGCAGGACTTTCTCCTACTTGTGGTTGTGATCCATGCATGACTGCATTGTCCTTCTGGTGTTTTTCAATACCTCTCAGAATAATCTTCTCCATAGTTTTACCAGTCACTGAAGTGAGACTGACAGGTCTGTAGTTTCCAGGGTCCTCTTTCTTATCCTTCTTGAAAATCAGGACAACATTTGCCAGCTTCAGGCAAAGGAATTCCTGTTAGGCCTTGGCCTTTGTGTAATGAGTTGACTGGTGAAGCAGCCCTTAACCATAGCAGGAACTCTTGCATGGCTAAGACGAGGGTGACACTGTCCGTACCAGGAACTCTTGTTGCCTGACCAAGGAGGAGAATAGGAGATATTCAGTCACTACCTGAGAACCTCAGAATACTCTTTAAATGAATTGTAGTCTCAGTGGAACTGTACAAATGTTACTGGACTCTTGAGAAATTCCAGTAATTACTAAATTGGATTGCAACCAGGATAGAAATAAAATGACTGATGACTAAAGCTAATCATCTTGTGACCCTATAAATATTTATCCTAAGTATTTGTCCCTTTGAGCTCTCCTAGACTGCAGCATGCATCTCCCTCTCAGAGCTCATGAACTCTCAAGTTTGTGATCATCGGAGAATCATCCCCAGAAGCTGACGACACTGCCTGGGTTGATATCCCCCATCCTCGAGGCTCGACCCTTGCCTGTTGAAAAATGCTAAGACATTTAAAGTGCCTATTTGTCCTGGTTTTGGCTGGAACAGAGTTCATTTTCTTAGTAGTTAACGCAGTACTGTGTTTTGGATTTAGTATGACAATAAGGTTGATAACACACTGATGTTTTGGTTGTTGCTCAGTAGCCCTTACCCCAAATCAAGGACTTTTCAGTGTCTCATGCTCTGCCAGTGAGGAGGTGCACAAGAACCTGTGAGGGAGCATAGCTGGTACAGCTGACCTGAGCTGGCCAAAGGGATATTCCATACCATATAGCACCATGCCCAGTTTATAAACTGGTGGAGTTTAGCTGGAAGGGGCTGATCACTGCTTTGGGACATGATGGGTGTCAGTCAGCAGGGGGTGAGAAATTTGTTTTTTTCTCTTATCTCAACCTACCATTCTTTCCTTTTCTTTACTGATTCTCCTCCCCATCACATGAGGGCCAGGGTGGAAAGGGTGGAAAGGGAGTGAGTGAGCATACGTATGGTACTTAGTTGCTAGCTGAGGGTAAACCATAACAGTATTTCATGGAACTCAAGAAAATTTAACAGCTATACGTTTGCATATTTAGATATATTTTTATATCTATCTCTCTCTCTTTCTATCTATCTATCTAGCTAGCTAGTTAGCTATCTTTGTGTCCATGTGCATGCATGTGTGAATTGATTTAAATATCCCACAGCAAGTATGCTATGAATGTTGCCATCTCAGATCCATAATTAAGTCACTGTTGTGACTGTAGTTAATCCCATTGAATCCCTTTGTAAATGTTAAATTATTCAATGATTAAGTGTTGCTAAATCCTTTAAATATAATCCATTGTCCAAGTCTGAGACTCAAATTGGACCTAATTGCAGTCAAACTCTATCAGGAATTTAGAAAGTACAATGTAAATGAAAGTATCGTGACATATAAGTGTCACAATAGTATTTGTTTTCATAATTCAAATATATTAAGAAACAAGACTTCCTTTTTATTCATGCCTTTTTCTCTAAAAACATAATTTAAGCAGCACACTGAAATCTCCAACTGATTTTCCCCATTCATGTTCAGGAGAGATATCATGATGAAACTGTTTTTCAAGAGATTCCTTTATTGCATCCAAAGAAGTTCAATAAAGCATTGCAATAATAGTTTGAGTGCCATCATTTTAGCTTTAAAGGTACGATGGGAACAATTATACACACCTGTCTTAGCAGCAGGAATAGAAAAAATAAATGTAGAAACTAACAACTCCAGAGAGCTTCATCAAAGACTTGGAGGTAGAAAACAGGCTTACAATCACTTTTATCCTAGCCTTGACAGATGACGTGGATTCCAGTCCCAGCAGTGACATTTCTTACCAGCTCAGACCGTGAAAACACGCATTGGAACCACTGTGATTCAAGTGTTCATCTATGAAATGATTCTTTTCCTTTTCCAGAACATCTTCGTGTCTGTGCAGCTACGTTGCAGATTACTCACAAATGCCCTGGCTGAATGGATAACAGTGTTTACTATGCATCAAGCCTTTCAGCATCCTCATTCTAGGAGAAATGTTATCTTACATGTTAAAGGCTAAGCTGCAGTATTCAGATGAAATAAAATATCTTTTTGTTTGAAAGATGCTGCCAGTTCTGCACAAACACAGAGGAAACTGTCAAAACACAATCTAGGTGCTACAGTACAGCTACAAAACACAAAAATCCTTTAAAAAGCACAGAAGACACGATTCATGAGACAGTTGAAGAATTTTACTTACATAAGTGCAAGGTAGGGACTTGAATATGCTTTTACATTTATAAGAGACATTTAGCAAGTAGAATTAATTTTCATTGAACTAATTCCATCCTACGTTATGGCATCAATTATTTTAGCATTTGTTAGGAAAGGATTTGGCAGATTTATCTGCTTAGGGGAAATTATTCCCTCCCCATCACAGTGATCTACTTTCTTACATGAACTCACAGATCTTATATTATGGTCCATTTCAGATACATCTCAAGTCTCAGTTCTGACAAAAAACCCCTAAATAATATACCCCTCCCCAGCTAATAACAAACCCTCCTTGCTTAATTTTAAAATGAAACCTGAGTTTGCAGAATCTGTTTTTGCAGGACTGGGTTTTAGCAGGATTCTCCCCCTACTCATTCTTTAATTGAATATATTTATAATTTCTGTCATTTCAGTAGGGATTAAAATATATTTGCCAGTGAGATTCAATATTAAGCACTTTTATGATCATGCAATCTTTCATCTCTGTGCAATTGATATCTAATTGTTGTAGACATTTACTTGCACGAATTGCTAAATATCCCTTTTGTTGAAGGACTTGCAGTACAGGGCAGTAATATCCAGCCCACGCTTCCCATTTACCCTCACTTCAGGATCCATATGCTGTCACTGGAGAGAAGATGATTCCTAACCAGGGTGTTTCTGTGTAACTGTGCAGTGAGTGTTTACTGCTGCTGTTTACACATACAGCCTCTACAGGTTCCTCACTTATGACAATGCAAAAAACCCCAAATGCCCATGATGTGCCCATTCTGCTTGACCTGTACATAATTGTAGACAACTGTAAAAAAATACTGATGCATTATACTACATACATGTTTGCATATGTATAATTTTCCTACTAAATAAATTCTGCTGGTTGCAACTGCTGTGTCATGTTGGAAATGAAGAATGGAACAACCAGGGAACAACATCTTTGGCCTTTAGATGATCCCTTCAGCCTGTGTGGGGTACTAATGAAGCACTCATGATATTTGACATAGTCTGGACATTCTGGACAAGAATGAAATGTTTTGAGTGCCCTTTGAGCTGTGGGGCACATGGTTCTCTCAGGCCTGAAGGGGAAGTTTATTTTATGGAAAACATGTAATTTGCTCCTCTGATTTCATCAGATATTCAAGTCCCAGCTGTCTTTGGCACTTTCAGCATTATCGCATGTAACTTTTTCATGTATTTATTAATGACGTTACCCATCAGACCTATACTGCACACTGCTGCTCACACTTGTTGTGTGGTAGTGAAGACAGCCTAGCTCTTCATTTGGAAGCCTTTCCAAAGGACAGTCTGGCGAAGCTCTGTGGTGGTCAGGGACACTGTTGGCACAGGAGCACAGGAGTTGTCAGATGCACTCCACACTTTGGAGTCTGGGTTGCAGAGTTTGGTTTGTAGGCTCACCGTCACAGTCCCCTCCCGATGTTTCTTGTCTTTTGTACATCTTTTGGGATTTCCCATGGATAAGTCGTGTTCAAGATAAGATACTGTGTTTTTTCTCCTGTGTTACTCTCGTGAAGAAGAGCTTTAAGACTGCCAACACGCAGAGGTTGGGGGAGGAAAGGGGAATTCTTCCCTTCTCTTCTGCAGGACAGGACACTGTGTATGCTGGACCCCAGCATACCAAGAGAAAACATGCTCCTGAGAAGGCTCCTTCACAGAGTTGTGTGAGACAAGACACCAAACCACCCTCAGGCTCCCAAACACGTTGAACACAGAATGTAAATGGACATTTATGCCTTGGTGAAGGATGTGGTTAGATTTTGGAGAGCTTGGCACTATTGTAGGGTCACTCCATATTACACATAACTATTATTACGTGGCCACTATCAGGGTACTACAAATTACTATTACTATAATACTTTGATATTATACAGCTTTTAATTTTTATTCGTTTAGCTTTAATTACATGAATCATCGGCACACTTACAAAACACCCAAACTAATCCATCCCAGCGGTCCCTTCAGCAAAGAGCAGCTATGACCTCTAGCTCTGTCTTTCGAGCAAGCCCCACGAACACAAAATTTCGGCGTTCGGTTTAAACCAACCCCACAGAGCGAGCCGAGCACTAAGACACGAGATCCCCAGCCCCGTCTACAATCCCCCCTCACCGCCCCGCCCCTCAGCCCTTGACGCATGCGCGCAGCCCGCGCGGCCCGCGCGGAAGTATCGCGCGGCGGGGGCGTGGCCGCGGTCCGCGTGGCGCGGGTGCTGGGATGGAGGCGCAGCTGGAGGTGCTGGAGAAGCTGGAGAGCCTGGCGTTCGAGCCCGGCACCGCCGGCACCGCCGGCACCGCGCCGGGCGGGGACCGACCGGAGACCACGGAGAGCGCGGAGGAGGCACCGGCCCGTCCGGAGGAGGCACCGGCGCGTCCGGAGGAGGCACCGGCCCGTCCGGAGGAGGCACCGGCGCGTCCGGAGGAGGCACCGGCCCGTCCGGAGGAGGCACCGGCCCGTCCGGAGGGCGGCGGGGAAGCCCAGGCCCCACTGCCCCCGGCCGCGGGAGCGCCCTGCTCGCCGCCACCCGCTCAGCTCAGCGCGCCCGCTGCCACCGGGCCCTTATCGGACTCGGACTCGGACTCAGACTCGGACTCAGACAGGTGAGTTCAGCCCTGGGGTTCCCCGCGGGTCTCTCTTTGCTCGTTTAGGCCGCTGGAGCTGTGTCTGAGCGCTCCAGAGCGCGGTGTCCGAGCCCTCCCCCCGCCCCCGTGTTTCAGCCTCTGTAGCTCTGCCTTTCCTATCGAAGATGACATTTCCAATTATATTTCGTTGGGAGACGTCCTGTTGTATCAGGACTCCAGAAGAGTGCTTGTGAGGGTGTTGGATTTAATGGAAACACGAGTTTAGGTGGCGGCCTGTGGAGCGCCTTGGCCCACCCGTGTCCGTGTGAGTGCCTGGCTGGACGTGCTCCTGGCGGAGCGCTCCTGCGGCCTCTGCGGTGCTACTGCTGAAAGAGCCGGAGTGCAGGATTTCAGGTGAGGGGTCTGCGGACCGTACCTCGTGCTCTGATGTTGGCATCTCATTGCGGAAACTGATTCTCAACCTGTATATTTTGTGGTTTGTTTTTTTTATAAAACATTCCATCTTCTACTTGCGTCAGTGCTTCGATGTTCAGTGCAGCTGGTGAGAGGTACCTTTGGTTAGGTGTGGGCTCTGTTGCAGCGTTAGAAGCTTGCACACTTTGACAGTTTGAGTGAGTTTTGTTTTCTTCATGGGCCAGTGCAGCAAGGCGTGTATGTGCTCCTTTTAACTAGTGGAGGCTGAAGTAAACTCTTAAGAATCTCCTCTTAAAGATACAAAGCTTCATTAACAGGTAATTGGTTAAAGTTTGACTTTGGTCGGTTCAGAGTTTTACCTGAATACAATGAAGTGATGAAGAGTGAAATTCTTGACTTCCAGGGGCTTCACCTGTATGTAGCGTTTTTTACTTCCAAAACCTGCTACGCTGATGAACATTAAAGATGCAGTTTTGATAGCTTTAACTTACTTAGCTGTCTGCATGTATGTAGCATGTTTTTTCAGTCACCAGGAACAGTTGCTCCACATTTGTTTCTTCTACCGGCTCTTGAAGAACTCAGACCTTTACTAAAAGGAACATGTTGACATGCATAGGGACTGGTTTCTTACGCTCTTTACGTGAAATACGAGGAGTCTAAGATAATAAGCATCTCTTACACACGCATCAGCATGAAATACTGAATTACTAGTCTGTGTGAATATGTACTAGAAGATTTGGACAGGCTGTGAATTATGAAACTAATCCCTCTTCTATGCAAAAATTAGATTTTTTTTTCCCCCCTTTCGTTCTGCAGGATACATTGCTTACAATAAGTATTTTCCTGACTTTCATTTAGCGTGATTCTGATGGTGGAATTGTACAAGAGCGATGACTTTGAGAAGTCAGTCTTCTAACTCCCACCTTTGTTTTATTCAGTGATACGGATTCAGATAGTTCGTCGCCTACATCCTCCTCTATATCTTCACTAGCATCTGATGAAGATGATCATTCAGATGAGAAGATTGACAGATCTTACTGTATTAAAACAAAAGATGAGTTACCTATTGAGGTAAGTACTAAACCTTCTCCTACTAACCCAACCTAAAGTATCTATTTTCAAGTCACTCCTACTATGTCAAGATGGGGGATAGAATCAAAAGAGGAAAAACACAAACCTCCTAGGCTGAGCTAGAGACAGTTTAATATGTAAAGAAAAAGGCCACACACACAGACAAAGCAAAACAAGAAATTAATTCACTTCCCATGGACAGGCAGGTGTTCAACCATGCCCAGGAAAACTGGACTCCATCACGTGCAACAGTTACTTGGGTATACAAATGCAATCACTCCAAATGTCCTCCTCTTCCTCCTTCTTCCCCCAGCTTTTTATGCTGAGCATGATGCCATATGGTATAGAATATCCCTTTGGTCACTGCAGATCAGCTGTCCTGGCTGTGTCCCCTCCCATCTCTTTTACACCTCCAGCCTCCTCACTGATGGGGTGGTGTAAGAAGCAGAAAAGATCTTTATGCTGTGTGAGCACTGCTCAGCAATAATGTTTCTGTATTGTCAGCACTGTGTTCCAGCACAAATCCAGAACACAGCCCCATACCAGCTACTGTGAAGAAAATTACTTTACCCCAACCAACCCCCCCACAGTTAATAACTGAAAATGTCTTATTTTTGGGGTGCATATATTAAGGAGTGTTGGTGGAACTATATCAGAAACCTCTTGCTTTGAAGTGCAGGATTGTCAGAATGTCCATTTTGAGATTTAGGATCAAAATTATAACTTCGTTTCTGCTGGTCTTTGACCTTTGAATTGCTCTCACAAAAGTGACTCATTTAAGTCTTAGCAGTGAAATTGATTTAATGTTGGAAAACTCAATGGCATGTAGAATGTTGTGGTGTTTCTATATGAATACATGTCTCGAGTTATAATATATCATTAAACTGGGAAAATCTTGGCCTTTTTTGAGTTGCTCTATATGCCTTTGCCAAGCACTTTTGTTAGAGTGAAGATTATCAGGTGAAGTTTTGAGAAAACAGGATAAGTTTCTTCTCTTTGAGTGGGATTCTGTTTCTGGTAATGGCCTTTGAAAGTGCAGTTTAGTGCTAAGATTTGGACTCTACCTCCAAATTCAAAAGATACTGAATTTGAAAATAATGCTTACTCCTGCTGCTTTGTATTCCATATAGTTCATATTGAATTTACAGCAGTATAGTATAGACATACACATCTTTATGAGTAAGTCGGAGGTAGATGATGAGTTCAGTGTTAATCAGCCTTTGATAGTAGATTTTGATCCTTACACTTAAGGAAAAAGTTTAATTTGAATATTGTGTAGTACTCATTTTTGTATCTGTAGTTAGGTGTGTTTGTTTGTTGTTGTTGTTGTTGTTGTTTTTTCTGAAAGTGTTCTCTGATTATCCTCTTGTACCAAATGCTACTTTTAGCTAGAATTAATTTTCTTTGTGAAACAGGTTGTTTTGATCTTTACATCTTCTATAATGGTCTAAGTCTTGGTATAATTGGACAGATAACATTTTACCAAATCAGGTGATACACATCTGTTGTATTTCATGCTATATTGTCTCTTGCTGTCTACATTTTTCTTCTAGCACGTGTTGAATGTAATTACAAGTTGTCTTATTTTTTGATTACTGATTGTTTAATTATTGTGTTGGACATTGAGCTAAAGTTATCTGACGTGAAAGTTCAAAAAATTGAATAAAATGCCTGTCAGTTGTTGGCTTTCTTGGGTTAAATAAAATTGGCTTCTACTTCAGTTGCAATGGAAATGTGTAGAGAAGCATCTCTTTAGGAAAAGCGTCCTCAAAAGCGGTATTGCCCCAAGAGGAGTTCATTTGGAATGATTCTGAGAGAGGCAAATCAAACTAGATTTTTTTTGAATAAAATCTTCAGAATGTTAGATTTTTCACAATTGTCAAATTGCTGCAGTGATGAAGTGATGAATGTCTTGGTACATTATTATATTCTGAACACTGACTTGATGTTTTCAGGAACTACCTCCTGTTGAAGACTTATCAATAGTTCTGCCGGATAACATTGAACTGAAGCTCTTTGGGACAGTGTCCAGCATTATTGAGCAACTAGGTAGGAAAAATGTATTTACTTTGTTTTTAATTAATATAATTTCTGTATAGCTCTGTGTTATTTGTGTACTTAACTGTTCCTGCAAAGTGTCAGTGCTGCAGTGTTGGATTTCTGGTGGTAGCGGGTTGCTGAATGAGAACTCAGACTAGCAAATGACATTTGTGTTGAATTACCTTTTAGTTGGCTCACATGATACTAGGACTACTATGCTTGTGTTTCTGTGTGACTTTCATGTTTAATTTCTTCTTTAGAAAGCCTTTTTTCCACAGTGTATTTAATGATTTTTGTATTAATTCTGGCAACAATTACTGTATTTTAAGAAAATCTTCCAATAGCGTGGGCTATATTTGAATTAACTCTGAACATATAGGAGTTGTGTAACTGAAAGCACAGATGCAGTACAATGCAGTCCTAAGTGCTTGCTTTTTAATACACAAGGACAGGAAAAGGACTTGTTTCTTTAGCAGTGCAGGTTCTTTTTATTTATTTTTATCTTTATTCATCCCACTTCTGGTACCTTGACCGAATGAAAGCTGGCCATGTCAGCAGTCATAGGATAGTATGACTAACATGATTTATAGGTGCTAGAGGGTAAACTTAAAGGGATTGAGATACACAATAAATGTAAGCTTAACTGCAGGCAATAGACATTCAGGGATGTTTTCAGATCTGCATGGAACCTCAGTATTTGGTATATGAAATCAAAGTTTTGCTGAAGCTGGTATTATTGAACAGCCATAGTATGCTTGTATTTAAGCTATTTCAGGTGTTCTCTTCCACTTGAACTGCTTTCAAAGCAATTTACTTATGAAAATTAGAAATTAAGTTCAATTTTGAAGTTAAAGTATTTATGTTAAATGGAGTACAACTGAAAGAAAATAGCCTTTGCTATTAATTTTTTCTCTACTGTAAAAGACTTCAGGTAATACAGGCAGTTCCTTTACAATATTTTTATTAATGGTGTTAGTTTAGAGTAAGATTTAATTTCATTCATTTGCAGGAAGCTGCTTTGAGGGGATGGAAGATAGTAATAATTTTTTTGTTCTACTCTGCCCTTTCTTGCTAATTGATAATAATGTGGCCTTCAAGAAGGCTATCTTCAGCTAAAATGGTAGTTTGAAAACAAGTTTAAGAAAAAAAGTTGAATCACAGTTGCTATTATTCTTATGTTTGGTCTAATATGTGAAGGTATAAAGAAACCTGTTTTAAAGACTTTAGTTTTGAGAACTTTCTTTAATTTTAGTCCTCATTGGTGAGTATAATCTTTTAAAATCCTGTCAGTTTAGTGATAGGTGAATTCTTCAGTCTGCATCCTACTTCATGTAATGAAAACATATGAAGTAGATTTGTTGGTGAAAGTTAGAAGACAAGCTAGTAATCATAATGAATTAAAGCAATAAGAATGCCATAAACCTCGAGGATATCTGTGATTATTTCCCTACTTTTACCACCTCGCTTTATGACTTCTCTTTCAGCATATTTTTGCTTCTTTTCAGTTCTTTTGGAAACAGATGTTTGAGTGACCTCAATTTCAATTGATTTGTGGCCATATTAGGGACTCAGCTAGCTAATTGGGTGTTGTTTTTTGATTTTTTTTAACAAAATTGATACCTCTGTATACCAGGTTTGTATCTAGGGTGAGGGAAGTTGAGGTCTCATTTGGAAACAACAAATATTGTTCTGGTGCAACAATCAATATTCTGAACTTTTTCTTTCCCTTTGATGTATCGCAGAAATCTCTGCTGTTCTCCTTAGCAAGTTTCCAAGTTCATCAGTCTGCAGTGAGTGATACTTTTAAGTTCGGGATTTCATACTGTGAGGTAATTTTGAGGCTAGAACAGTATAGGTTCATGCTTGCTCTGCTCTAGCTAAAAGCAAGATGACAGTACTTTCTGTGAACTTTTGCTCAGTGTATCAAAATTTACCAAAACTTTTGCTGTGTTTTGCTTCAAGGTACTTAAAGATAAGAGAAACATTCATGTGTGGGTTGTAGCCTAGAAAGTAAACAGCTTTGGTGTATATGAGAAACCTGCTCTGGGGCTGCACTTTGGGCCCTGCAAGAGTAGAAGCTGAGGATTTAGGCTGGAGTTGGGGTAGGGGAAACTCTAAGTCAGATAGGCTGTAGGTGATAATGCTTCTAAGTTTCATGGAACTGGCATGACTTAGATTTTCAGAATATTTTCTGTAGCCTACTGAAGACTGGGGGGCTATGTCTGATGAGTCAAGTTGACAACATTCTCAGAGTTTTTGGTATGTGGTTTTTTGTTTTGTTTTGAGGAAGGGTTTTTTGTGTGTGTTGGGGGGGTTTTTGTGTGTGTGGTTTTTTTTTTTTGGCTAAGGTGTATTTCTCATGAGGTTTAAACAACACATTGGGTTCTTTCACTGTATATTTTATCTTAGAGGTAGGAACAAAAGAAATTGATTCACCAAATTCTCTTGAAATTCAGTGAGCTATTAAGCCTTAGCATTTTCGCATACTAGTTCATCGTGTTAAAAGGTTTTTACAGATTGCAGTTATAGCAGAGTTTGACTTTTAGCTTGGTGATGTTTAAGTCCTGTTGTGTAAGTTTAGCAGTGATGATCTTGTTAGTTTTTGATAGTCTATGAGTGGCACTAAGTGTTTGAGTGACCTTATTTGCTGATTGAGAGGCATTGAGAAGGCTTATTTGAGCATTCTGTTGTTTTAGAAGTAGAGAAGTTTACCTTCAGAATCAGAATTTTTGAGTGTAATGCTGCTAGGCCTTTACATTGAGAGCTTTAAGCACAGTTCCTACTGAATGTAAAAGAAGACGCGGTATTTCTGTAGACTTAAGCAACAAATGCAGACTACTACCAAAGAAGAGTGATCTCCTGTAAAGGTCTCACTAAAGAATAAGAATTATGTCTCGAAATCTGGAAAACCTAAAGAGCCTGTATGTGAGATCATATATTTAATTAAGGAAGAACATGCCTCTGTGTCCATTTATAAGTGTTTGGGTCCACTAAGTGTTAAGATTTCGTATTTTGAGCTAGTAGAATGACGTGCTTGCTCTGACCATTTGTACCATCATTAGTCATTGATTAGTAGTATGAGACTTATATGACGTTAAATTGCAGAAATGTATTTCACGTTGTGTATGTGCATACATAAACAACACTATCAGTTGCTATTGTGACTGAACTGCCAGTCAGCTTTTGTGTTCTGGTTCTGATTCTTAGGACTTACTAGGGAAAGCTACAGTGAATGGCAGTCTCCATTCTTTTTTCTGAGGAGAATTTGCTTTGGAATACTAAGGCATGATATATACCTGCATCGGCACTCAAAAAACTTCCATATTATTTCTGCTATGCATTTAATTCTGAAACATCCTGGGTAAATTCAACAGGTAGCTCGCACATACATATCTGAGTGTTCTCTTTTGTACCTGTCATCTGGTCTCTTTTACTTCTTTACACCAGAGAACAATAATTCTGAAAACATTGTAAATCTTGCCATTCATATATCACTGGAGAAGGGATGTATGATTTTAAGTAGCTTCATGTGTGTGCAAGAATTTTTGGTTGTGGTGCTATGAACTTTAGTAGACTAATAATGGTGTGGTTTGTTTTTTGTACAATTAACTACATGCTATTGAAACATAGAGTTCTAATTGATCTTTTTCTTTTCCATTTTAGTAATAATTGAATCACTGAGAGGCCTACCTCCAGTAAATGAGGAGAGCATAATTTTTAAAGAAGATCGACAACCAGCAGGAAAGGTGTGTGTAAAGTAAATGCCTGTTATTCTAATATAAAATTGAAAGTATTCTTTAGTGCTCCAAAAAGTAGAGTTGAACTCGATTAAATGAAAGATAATGTTTCCTCGATATATAGTTTTTCTTCATGTTTTTGACTCTTGCTACTTTTTTAATGTCAAGAATTCCTAACCTGGAATTCATTGCATCCTTACAGAATTACAATGTCTGGGGAGTTCCAAGTATTTGCTGAGGGTGCTTGCGGAGAGGTAGGGGTTGCTTTCAGGTGTATGATGTCTTGGGAAAGACAGGCTGTACTCTCTTACTGCCAGATAGGGGCAAAGGTGAGAGTGAAGTGTCATGAAAAGTGGGGAATGTTTACAGTTCTGTGCTCTGCTGTTCTGGTTGATGGCCAGTGAAGAATGTTTGCTGAGAGGGGTGTTGCATTGAAAATTCTATCTTTTCTATGGAAGGAAAGCCATCATCTACAATGGTTACTACTGTAGTATCCTTGAATGCTAGATGTGAGTGAAACAAACTCAGCCTGAATTGCGGATGTTCTGTACAACATGGCAGAATTCTATGCTGTCCCTGGAACTGCAGAACAAGCGGTAACTGACACAAAGGCATCTTGAAAAGATGACCTCGGAGAAAAAAACGATCAGGAGATCATTCCAGGTGTAAGACATTTGAAAGCAAAATGGACACAAAAAAATAGAGATTTGACAAAAGGAAGGATTACTAAGGATGTGAGAACTTACTTTTCCACATTACAACAAATGTGAAAATTAACTGGGGAAATAACACTGTCAAACAAAATTTTGGTAATAGAACTAAAACATGAAAGGAACTTTATTTGATGCTGCATTTTGAAAATATATTGAACTTCTTAAATACCATTGTCTACAATGACATTAGCTATCTATTCATGTTTGTTAATTTAAACGTTTTAATTTTGTTTCTTTCAGATATTTGAGGTGTTTGGTCCCGTCTTACATCCTTTTTATGTGTTAAGATTTAACAGCTCTGAGCATATCAAAGAAAAAGGTATTAATGTGCAAGATAGCATGTATTTTGCTCCAGCAGTGGAGGACTTCACCCAGTATATATTTACAGAGAAACTAAAAACGTGAGTCTGATTTCTTTTCTAATCTGATTATCATGTGTTTTTTAATGTAACTAAAAATATTGGATTAAAGTTTGGTCTTGGGTGAGATTGATACTAAACTGTTTATTTCCTTTAGATATTCTCAATCGTGTTGTAATTACAAGACTACTGTTTTACCTTTCAGAACAGTAGACAGTAGCTGTAAACTGCAAGCTTTCAAAGTGCTGTAATTACTAAAGTTCAGCTTCTGATTCAATTTAATATATTAAGCTTCCGTGTTCAGAAACTTCTCAGTAGTACTTGTATATCCCAGCCTGCCTGAGGAAAGGAGCAAGTATGAATGGGACTTGATGCCGTTTAAAGGAGGTGTACTCAAAGACACAGACAAAGAAATAAAGCATAATAAATGACAGCTAGATATTAATGTTCTACTTATTGATTAATAATTTTCTGAAATAACTATAGGTTAAAATCCTTTGTCATAAAAGTGACTTAGTTTCTGTTTGTTAGGATTCTCAGTTTCTCATTTGACTTGGTTTGGTTAGTTGTCTGCATTCATTATAACTCTGCCCATATTCATACTGAATGATTTTTTCCGTAGTCAAGCATGTGTGGCCAGGCCTGTAGGAATCTCTTTTTTTTTTTTTTTTAATTTCTCATTTCTATGTGAGCAACAAGCATATTTTTTTCCTTTCAGTGAAGACTAAAATAGATCACTTTCTTGCTCTGATGCTTGTTTGTTTTTCTGCAGCATTTTGATGCCAGCTGGTCTTTGATTTGCACTGTTAAACTTTGTTGCTTAGCACAGTAAATGCACAGACTTTAATCATCTGCTTGCTGCATCCAAGTGAGTGTACTGCACTCAGCATCTGAGATGGAAGACTCATATTTTCGTCTGCTGCATGCTTTGGAAATAGTTTTGGAAACCATTTGTCTTTTGGTAGTACTTCATTGTCATACATGGTAAAAAATTGAACACTAGGCAGGATATTTCACACTTTGTGGCTTACCAGCACAACTGAGCAGTGCATCAGACATTGCTTCTTACCTCGATTAAAATGAGCAGTGTGAACACCTGTATAGTCTGACAAGACCCATAATTTCTGAACCGTGTCACTGAAGTTACATTTCACTGAAACTATTTTATTTCTGGGCTTTGTCACTATAATTTCTTAAGCTCTTGTGAGGCATTTGGTACTATTTGTTGAACATACCTTTTCACAAAGTAGGTATTCATTAAAAATGGATAAAAATTTTCTGATGTCTGACCTGTATGAAGAAACCAAGATGGCATGGATAGTAGAAAAGTTGAGCTTTGGTCAGTGCTTCACAAGAAGGCTTTTAGACCTTAGCAGATTGTAAATTTGATGACCAATAATTTTTATTTTCTGCTTTTTATCAGTTTGTCGCTGTGCACACCAGATTGTAGAGTATTAAAGGCTTAAAGCTTTAAAACTACTGCTGAAAACTGTGATAGTACTTTGAAAATGAAAGGAATCAAGATAAAGATACGAAAGAAACATTAAGTTTGAAGCTTTTTCTGAAATCTAAAATGCAATCTGCTTGCATTGTGCAAAGTTAAAGTGCTATGAAAATAAGCCTTACACTTTATAGAAGAATGAAGTGTAGCGTAAAACTTACTGAATGGAAAACAATTTGTTGCTAAAAATAGATAAACTCATGCTCATGATTCCTCTGAATCACCTTTTGTTAAACTTCCAGATCTTACTTCAGAAGTATCTGACTGCGGAAGTCAAAGAAATATATATATTGTTCTTTAAAGAAGATTACTAAGTTCTTTGTAGTATGAAAAGTGGTTTGTGTTTTGCTGAAATGGGCAAGGCTGCCTTGGGAGAGTGAGATAAGCTGTGTGAAATTAAAAGGTTTAAATTTTTCAGTGAGTCATTGCAGTGAACTCCCTCAATTCGGATTCAAAACAATTTAGGTTCAAAAGGATGTGTTAATGGTATATTGATCAAAACTTAACACTGGCTGTGTGAAGTGCTTAGTCGTCACTCAAAGCAGGAAGATTTTTCAAGTGAAGTCCTAAGTTGACAAGTACATTACTATTCATTTAGATATAATGCTAAGAAACAAATACCTCTCTAAAAACAGATACCTCTCGGTGTATGAGATCTGATACCTTGAAAGTACTACCATTCCTTCATGTGGATTGTCTAATTTGTGTTTTGGGTTCTTCATTTATCTTTTTTTTTTTTTTTTTTTTTTAGGGAAAAAGGTTCAGATGCATCTTGGAAGCATGACCAAGAACCACCACCTGAAGTAACTATAGTGGTTTTTTTTGTTTATTGTTTTTGATTTCACCAGCTATATGTAAAAAAAAAATTATGCAGAGTAATTAATTAGCAGGCTTATTTTTTTATGCAGATGTACCTTTTTATTGAAAGAAAAGTTCATGCAGGCAGACTTCCTTGCTTTTTATGACATCTTTGTTTTTGTGGCTGTTCTGATTTTCTGATCTGTCGGTGTGCTCTGTTTTGGAAAAAATCCACATCTAACATCTTGTAATCCCCAATTAGAATAATCTTTGGTTAGTTCTAGCAGTCTGAGTGTACACCAGGCTCTCCAAACTGTGACAGCTGATGAGCTGATAGAAAGTAGCTTTTACTGTGAAGGTAATAGCTGTTGACAAGGGTGCAGATTAAATTTTACACTACTGATGCTTGAAATTGTCTCTTACAGCCAGACTCTTTCAGACATCTCAGCTTGCAGCTGAATTTATCACTTTTCTGGCTAGCCCCTATGGTAAACTGTGTGCAATTGCTGGAGTCAGTTTTCTTTGTGATACTGTGAGGCTTTATTTTTGTATGAATGTTAAATTAACCCACGTTAGGCATTTTTTACTTGCTGCTTTATATGGTAAGCATTCCTTTTCTGACAGGCTCTTAATTAGCCCAGCTTAACTGTAAACTCACTAGTACAGTCTCTCCCAGCCTTGTTTTTGGGGTCATAGGATGACAAAAGTGTGATCTGTATGCTGCAAGGCTGGCAGGAGCAGACAGCTGCAATTTTTCTGTGATGCAGCTTTTATGGAATGTTACATGGAAATTAGGTAGCAGTAAACGGTACCTATTGGTGTTCATTATTTCTGCTCTACGGCAGTATGTTGTATTGTAGTCCTTAGAAAAAGCAGGAGTTAGTGAAGGATTTTACATCATGATATGTATAATCTTGCTGTATTCCTTGTGGCTTCCTCTGAGTATGTACGTAATGCAGTTATGTAGAAGAGGCAATAGTTGCATTCAGAATTAACTTTTATTATTAACTACTTTTTTAGTAGTGTTCCACTTCAGTGTTTTTGAAACACATACTCTGTGTATACTGTAAGCAGCAAACTCCCTACCTACAGAACTGGGAAGGGAAGGGTGGGAACCAGTCCTCTACCCCTTTTAAGTCATATGAGCCAGCTATATTGCAGTAATTAATTTTGACAGATTTTTCCCTGTCAGTGATAACTTTTCCTCATTCTACTGTAAGCTAGGATTTAAAAGGTAGCAAAACCTCGCATAACAAGAAGAAAATGCAGTGACATTGAATCTATTGTAAACAGTAACATTCCTCAAAGCTGAAAATTCCTTTTGAAGAACATTGCTATTGCAAGTTTAACAGGAATGTTGTTATTAAATATACTACAGAAAATTCCAGTTCAGTGACAATTTTAGACTAGACTTGTTTTTGGATGTTTAACTGTGCTATGTATTGGTTGCAGAGTTTATTTTTACCTATTTTAAAAATTCATATTTCAATTCATCTAGACTGCAGTTTGCCCTTCAAAAACTTTTCTTGGCAGTAACTAGCCAACTCCTTCAGAGATTCGCAGTTCCTTTCTAACTAACATCTAGGCAATCAAAATTTTTTTGTTCAGTACTTGAACATTGCTCTTTTCAGGAAAACTAGACAGAATAGCTGAATCTTGTATTGATTGTCTTACGAGAAATTTCTTGTGCTGAGAAGCCAGCTGACTTCTTTTTTTTTTGAACAGGTCTTGGATTTCAGTGATGATGAAAAAGAAAGAGAGGCAAAACAGAAGAAAAAGAAGCCTGAAAGTGAAGGAAGGAAAAAGCTCAGACCAGAAACAATTTCACCAAGTGAGTAAATGTTATGGGATAATGCTTTTTGTCAGCTCTCCAAACTGAGTTTGGAATGCACATCTACATTTATCTTAATGGTTGATTTTTCATACAATTAATCACTATTTCTGTGCTTTTCAGTTATACTTGTGAATTTGTGGCTACATACCATATTTTATTAGAAGAAAAAAGTTATTTACTGTTAAAACAGAAACCCCTGGAAGTCAAATGGTATCACAGCAGAGCAGCTGTCAGAAGAGAGTCAAGGGCCCTTAAAACAGTGTTAGACACACAATGAGGATATGGAACAGGTGCCATTTGGAGTTTAGAGCTTGCTTATTACAGGGGTTGTTTGGGCCCAAGTTCACCTTAAGCCTTTGAGTGTGGGGGAAATACAGAGGAAGGCCACGTGCGAATTTTTGAAACTCACTCCTTTGGCAGTCAGGGAGGAGACCCAAGTCTTAGATGGGGGATTTATTCCTCTACCTGAAAAGGAAGCTCTTCCTCCCGTATGGCATATAAATACTCCTCTAAAAAAACTTACTAGTGTAGCTTGCTGAGAACCTCTCTGTTCACTTCCTGCAGTCATTAGATAAACAAACCTATGTATAGTTTTTCATACTGTGAATAGCCTTCTGCACCTTCCTTTCTCCTGCTGTTGTCGTACCTGTTCCAGGTGTGCACTTGCATCTGTGCTCTCTTTGCAATAACCAAATTTTCTTTTCTTGTCCCCCGTGCCTACTTACAAAAAATTTTTGCTTTTTCAGTGCTATTTTGGTTGAATAATTTATATTACATCCATTTTTTTCTGTTCTCACTGGTCTGCTTCTGCTGCATGCTCTTTGTACCACTCCCTTTAAATACTACTGACTCACAACCCTTATGCTCTTCTTCTGCTGCTTCCATATCAGAATCCTTCAACTATCTGGAGTGTGGTGCTTCTGCCTTTGATTTTCTAGGACAGACTCCTCCTGTGAGTTTGCTGCTCTTCCACTGTAAAGCTGATATACATTGTGCCTCGCTCAAACCCTCTTCCTTGATTTGGGAAATCAGTAACTGACCTTTAATGTTTTTTGTACAGTACAACCCTCCTTTGTATCATTTAAATAAAGCTGCCATCTTGCTTGGACTGGCTTTTGCCCTTTGGTTTTGAAGTTTTCCCTTAAGAGAAGGATCTGAATTGTGCTGTACTTTCTGTTCATTGCTGATGTGGTGTTTTTTTTTCTCCTGGTTTCCGTTTATCTAGCATATGGCATGTTTTACATCACATCCTTGTTGTTCTACCTTATTGCAGACTTGCCTTTGCCTAGGGCTTGCTGAGGCTGTTTCTGAACTGTTATGTTCCATAACTGAGAGCACAACAGGAAGAACTGCCACACTCTGTCAAGGGTTATGATTTGTTGGCATATAAATGGAAATTGTATGCAATTTGCTTTGGCTATAGCATTAAATAACAAGGATATGTGACAAATTGAGACAAACTCAGTCTCAGATGGAATGTGCTTGCTTACATCTTCATGAAACTCTGAGTATATTAAAATTGTCACATTGTTATAGTATATGCTAAGAGAAGAAAGAAAAAAAATACTCATTCAAGTACTTCACTGCAGTGCTTCCAAAAGGCCTTCTTGTACCAAAGGAGTCTTAAGTCCTAATGCCCCATGAAAATTAGTAGGAATTTTGGTATCTAGCTGCCTTTCAAGACTTAGCTTTTCGAAGATGAAAATGTTTCTATGTAGTCTTGTGCCAAGGATTATGTTCACACAAGTGTTTAAATTTCAGTGATTTTATGTGGTGGTATGTCCCTGAATACCTTGTTGCTTCCAGCCCTAAAATCCTTTTGAGTTCATGTTTCAGTTCCAATTCTACAATTCTTTTTGAATATCTTTGAATGTTCTTTTTGGAACATTTGCAATATTTTGGTGCTCTTCATTTATAGCCCTTTTCCCATTAAAGCTCTTCTTATATTTATATGAAGAGGCAGTACATTTGTTATGGACCTTAAATATATGCTTACAATGACCTGTAAAGGGAAAAATTCATCTTAAAAAGATGAATACTGAAAGCTAATTAGCTGAAGGTACAGTCTACCCTTTTGCTGGTAGAGTAAATTAATTTTATTAATTTGAGCTTGAATAATTTCAAGCCATTTGTGTCCTGTGCCTGTGGTGTAATACCAACTCAAGACGGAAAGCTGTATACTCCCTCAGGGTAATACAGTGTTGAGTTATCTTTAGCTTTAAAATGTGTTGCTTTTAAATCTTGTTTTAAATAAAAGCTTCCAAAATACTCAAAATGTGAGTGTTCCTATGATTCATTTATACAAATGAAAAAACCTGGAGGGAAAAAAATGAGATTTCTTTTTTAATGATTGAATTTGCAGCCCTCAGGATCATCCTTTTTGTTTTCTCTCATCAATCAAAATTAGTTACTAAGCAGTAGACTTGACAGTATTATTTTGTTGTTTATATATTAGTAGCAAACATTTTTTGTTGATAAGAATAATTTGCTTGACTTCAGTTTGTATGATTTATGAGGACTAAACTTGATCTTTCCAAAATAATACTACAACTGTGTGTGTTTGTTCGTTTTTTTTGTTTATTTTTTAGGTGAGAATAAAGGATTTCATCACTCAGTGCAGCAGCCTGCTTCACGTTATTCAAGGGGATACCGTGGCAGAGGGTTTCCCAGGCATTCATTTCCTCCTCCATCAGGCCCTCGAGGGTTTTGGAGACCACAAGTAAGAGCACCCCAGCCGTACTGTTCAGACAGGAGGATACACCATCAATCACCAGTGTTTCCACAACCTTATAGAAAACAATATCCAGTGATGCCACAGTATCCCTGTCCTCCTCCAGTTTTTGGTTCTGTCAATAACATGCATCAATTCCCTCCTCCCAATATGAATTGGACAGGCCCAAACATGCACAACTTTTCATACTCATTTTTACCACCTCCTCCTCCACCGCCGCCGCCTCCCCCTCCTCCAGATAGCCGTCCTTCCCAGTTCAGGTCTTTCTAAATTTCCATGAATGTGCATACAGAACATTGCAGCGTATAGGGCTACCAAGACTGTATTCCCTTATTTTGAAGATATTTTTCCTGCAACTATAGAACAAATGCAGAGTTTTGTACTTTGTGCATTCATAGAAAATTACTTTTTTCTATATGTGTTCTCTGTTTCAAAAAAGAAAATTATAAAAATAACTGAATATTAAATAATTGTTTATTTTTATAATATATGTTCCTTTGAAATGATAAATAAAAACTTTTTGGAGACTGATACGTAGTGGAAATCTATTTTGTAATAAATGTAAGAATTTCTATAACTATGTGAGTAGTGATGACGATATGTCATGTAGATGGTATTTTAATATTTTTAGAATGGTTGTATGTTGCTACGTTAAACCGTTTTTTCTCAGTTGCTGCAAATTTTGAAACTTACTCGCATGGGAACTGAAAATCTGAATCTAAATTTTAAGCCAGGTTTGCCACTGTTCGTTTAGGGCATAAACTGTTATCCAACTTTTAATACTTCATTAATTTAGTATTAACTAAAAGACTGGGTCTGGGTGGTCTTTTTTTAAAATAACTGGAGTAGCCAGATCTGAAATTGGACCAGTAGCTGAATTACGTCAAGTTTAGTGTCCTACAGTGGTTGTAGAAGATCAACCTGTTAATGAGATGTTTTGCATTTAATTTAGAATTTATAATGAGCATAATTTCCCTAGCTTGTCTTTGTTCCTAATGCAGAAACACCCATAGATACCTCCTAGAGTACGTAGTCAACCATCAGATCTGTCAGGCAGAGAAAGTGTGTCTTTTTATTATTCCCTTGTTTAAATTTGTAAATGCAGATGGTACAGATGCAGGTTGTTGCTTGATTGTCTGTACAGTCAGAACTGTCTCCAGGAATTGCAAGGTCATCAACTCTTCCAGCTTGTGTCTAGGAGGAAGGTGAAACTGTCAAGGTCCACTTGGAATAACCTTCACATGTCCAAAAAGTCAGTCCTACAACTGGACTTTATTAGTCTCTGTGGAAGCCACTCTAGGATGGCTAGGATGGAAGATCTTACACTGAATAAGTATTTTAAAAGGAGGAGAAAAAAAGTAGTTGTGTGACAGACATCTTAAATATGTCTTTTCCTTTGAAAAGTCATTACTGTTTGCGATCATTTTTGCATCTTTAACAATTCAGTCACTTTAAACCATTGAACAGAACTGATAGAAGTGTGCACTATGTCTTTCTATTCTCAAGCTCACTTTGGCCTCATTAATTAGAGTGTATAATTAAAGGCTAAGTAAACTGTGCAGGTGTTGCTTAGACTTTAATTCCAAATAACTTAAGAATGAAGTGAAATTTTAATGCACAGGGGCAGGGACTGTCTTGTCAAGATGGTGCTATTGAGAACTGGAATTTAATTTCAGACCTTTAAGTTTCCTTATCATAGTATACCTGAGTAACAATAGTGAATAATCTAGAACTACTCTTTCAAAGGTGTGCAACTGAGAAGGTTGTATAGATCTCAGTTCATGACAGGCAGGTACTGCACAGTGGCAACAAATAGTTTCAGGACAGCAGCACTCCAGACATCAGTGTTTAACTCAGTTCCTGCAGATTATTTTTTTGTAGTAAAAAGAATGTCCAATTCTAGTCTGTTGCAAATGTTTATGTTTTGGAGGGAAGGAGAAGGGAGTGAATTTCTGGCCATGTAAGCTGTACCCAGGTATTCCCGTTCCCATTGGTAAGTTCGCAGGTGTGAGTAAACTCACTACAGCCTCGTGACTGGCTTAGCAGACTTGCTTTGTCTAAGCTTTGCTTGATTCACTTGGAGCTTTCTTTTGACTTGGTTTAGCTACAACAGCAGTTTGTTAATGACCAGGTGGCTATGATGAATTTGTTTTAAATGTACTTTTTTTTTCCTGTAGTATACCCACAGGTTTTTGCATAGATGGTAGCAGCACATAATTACTCTGTGGAGAGAACAGAGTATTTGTGGGTTTAATTGTATAAGATTGTTCAGAGGAAGAGAGACCTGACATAACAGAGGCTTCAGTGCAAGCATCCGTGCAGGATACAGTGTGGAGAAATATCTGGGATGTTAGGACATGCAGAGTTGGCACTGGAGACCTGACTTGCAAATTCTTCCCCACTTGTTGTTTGAAGAAGGTAAAAATACATTTTGATTATAACAGAGAGAAAAAGTATATATTGTGTAAAATGCAACATCTACAATAAAATCAGATGTAGCTATGAACATGCAGACAGATGAAGAATAAGCAAGATGTTACAAGTGAGTTATCAGGTATAAAAGGGATCCTAAGAAAATTTTATATTATGGAGGAAAAAACGGTCAACATCATACTTGTACTTGGGATGTCAATGGCTTGCTTTGTGCCCTGGCATGAAGAGACATCATCAACCTCAAGATCCAAAGGGGTGATTGAATGGTAAGTAACACCAAGAAAAAGGAGTGAGGTATTAGGTAGTGCAGCTACAACAATCTTAATTATTACTACTATTGCACCTTTTTTTAATCTGTGGTGATATTCACTTTTTTCTGCAATAATTGGATCTGGACCAAAGAATAACTTTTTGATTAAGCTGTTAAGATTTCTCTTATACTAAGGTGTGCTTGTGCTCTCCTTTCCCATAAAAATATTTTGCATGTAACAAAACCCAATATAAAACTGACTTGCAGAATGTAGTTTGACAGAAATATATTGCAGTCTAAGCTATTTTATTAAATCTTGGTAGTTAACTGCGATACTGTTTCTGTACACGCTTGCCCGTTTCTTAAGTTGAAGCAAATTTTACTGGTGTTCTGCATTTAGTGAGTACAAGTCACACTTGGAGAACTTTGCTTGGAATCAACTTTAGTTCTTCATTATGAAATTACTTGATAGCTAGGTATGATATGAGTTTGAAATATTTTGAGGATTGATTTCTTTCCCCAAAATAGTGTTACACCCTATGTTCCTTATACTGAAGAATAAACACTGAAATAGATTACTAAAGTAGTACCATCTTAATTTCAAAATAGAGGTAATGTAACTTTTTTTTAAAGAAAGATCTTGAATGTAATCATTGGTTATTAGGCTTCCTTATGTAGCTGTTTGTCAGTGGTGTTGCACAGATACTGTCAGATCCTGCTTCAGTATACAGGATGCGGTATAAACTTGCAGTGGTATGGGGAGATTGGGACCTGAGGTGTTGGCACCTGTTGGCACCCAGTTCTTTGGGGAAGGAAAATAAAACTGAGTATGCTTGGTAGAAAAATGGATGCAGTGGAAATACTTCTTTGTATCTTTAACTCTTTGGTAAATGTCCTGCTGTCTGTCCTGCTGCTAAATCTGTCTGCAAAATGGTAAAGCCTAAACTATAAAACTTGGGAAAACTGGCCTGGTAGTTTTAGTGGCAAGAATACCTAGTTTTGTTTGGCCTCAAGTCACCAAAGACACCAAAGTCATCAAGACACCTTTTGAGTCAGGGTGTTTTTTAGGAATCTGTGTTCCTACTTTACTGTGTTATATCCGACATGTTACTGCATTTAAGTGTTAGAGCAATATGCTTTAATAACTCCTCTACTGAACTGCTGTCATGTCTGGACACCAGTTCCTTCCTAGGCACAAGGACAGATCCTTGACAAATGAAGCACGTAAGACATCTTTTTCTTTGCTGCTGGAAATTGATTGGTAATGCACACCAGCTCAATTCTTGATCAGTGCCACTTTGGAGCAGGCTGAGCTTTTTAATCTGAAATAATATGGTGTGTAATGCACCCTCTCTAGAGATACTCCAAATTAAAACAACCAACCAGCCAGAAAATAGAAATTGTGAAATGTGAATTGTGCAGACATTAGGTCCTCAGCATCAACATTTTCTCTGTGTCTCCTTTTTAGCTGGTCCACACTAATTGCTAATGCTGGTGTAATTTTAACATTCAGCATGTAGTGTAATCTTATTTTTTTTAGATACTGCCTAGGCACTAATGTTTCTGATCCAGGCATGCAAAGACAGAAGGACTTAAAAACTCTGTTCTGGTTATTGATAATGTTCAATCCTGATGCCAGTTGAAAATACCAGTAGATCCCTATTTGCTGGGAATTTCACTATGGCCTGTGTTTCAGCAGTTGGTAAGCTTCTGGATTAGTACATTCATACCCGAAAAGGTGTTGAATCCAGTGTCTTATTGAGTAAAATCATTATATCTGATATGTTTTGTTTAAAAACAAAGCCATCTAGCTTCCCTCTGCTACTGTCCCCAAAAAAGCAACTGAAAGGGGAAAAAAACCAAACACCCCCCACCCCCAACAAACCCCAAATACTTCAGTTTCTGAATTTGACCTTCCATGTGTACAGATAGGATTCTGCAGTTCTTGTGGGCAGTCACAGTGTTTTGAATACAAGAAATTTGGAAGTACACTGTTAAGTGATCCTAAGTCTGAACTGGAATGAAGAGAAAAATACTATAATGTATTGTCTTCCACATGGAAGAGCTTTACCTACAAATTAATTTATGTGTCTTCAATTAATCACTACTTATGTTTGAATACTGACTGCTTTTTCCAAATAAATGTAGTTGGCGTAGGAATACTACTATGGTATTTTTATTAACTTTAAGCTAGTTACTGAATTGTTAAGGATTTATAATTTACTAAGTTGTTGGGGGATTAGAACTTTACAATAGCTTGCTTTCATTCAGTGAGGTATAGCTGGGAAGTCTAAAAGCCTCTAAACAAGGCTTTTAGAACCTTTTTTTTTAGAGCCTTTTAGAAGGCCTCAAAAGCCTGAAATTTCTTATTTTGTTTTTACTTGTTCCCTGCAAAGGTTGCATAAAGGAGTTTTAGTATCTGACAAGTTTTGAGTCCAGGACAGAATTTTCAGACGTGACTCCCACCAGCCCTCTGTCTGTGCCAAAAGTAGCATGGATTGCTAGGCTCAGGGCTGGGACGGGTCAAATGTGAGTCTTGAGTAAAGTAATATTTTCAGTATTTCTCTATTTCTGGCTCATGTTATCTTATTTTCACATTAGGCTTGAAAAGCTGCAATTGAGCCCTGTCACTTCTGTAACATTTTTAGTTATTCCTCTTTTTTTTGGAAATTTGGCATTTCTTCATGGGCTGCTTTCCAGAGAAGGCTTAAGGCATGGGGATGAGGGGAGAGACTCAAGGGAAAGAGAGGCTTATGGAAAGATTGGATTTAATTTTTCAGAAGGCTGAGGTTTACAAATAGAAGTATGGAGCAGTAAACCATTGGAGTGTATAAACTACTGTAA